GAAAAACTGATGATCCTGCATGCTGTTTATATTGGTGGCTGATCTACGGAAGCGGGCCATTGTACTTTAACTGGTTGTCGTAATTTTCGTTGTGCTTCCTTTTTTCCTGGTGACAGTGTGCAGTCACTTGTTGGCCCTACTCATTCTTTGTTTTTCGTACGTAACGTTTGCATTTGGTTTAAAGTATATTACTTCATATAAGCTCCTAATGACAAATATTATTAATTCAGTAAGTAATAAAATAGATTCATGTTTCATCATCTGTGATAAAATCAGAACAGTAAACTGCGGCCATCATAGCCATCGACGTCTCCTTTCAGAACAGGTATAGTACGATTGATTTAGCACAATGACGTAAAATTGCGCAGTGTAAACATTTCAAACAAGCAGTAGATAAGCATGGCTATGACTAAATTCTAGATGCGGTCATCGCTGGAATCATGGGATCACGGGATTCTGCGAACTGTATGGTCTTAGAAGCGCTGCACATTATGTGTAGGCTAGTAAAAACGCTGAAGAGGCTGTGCGTAGGCGATGCACTAAGCGCGTTCTGTGAGATTTATAATACCCATAGAAATTTTAGTGGTAGAGATGACTTTTCAGGTACCATACCGGAGGAGAAGGTCGAAGAGGAAGAAAGAGAATTGGACCCATCTAAACAGGTTTTAGACATCGAGCTCTTTGGTTTGCCACTGACCCCAATGAATTAGAGGGCTGAACGGCAGGGTCGTGTCAGAATGTACATAAGTATATTTTCGTGCAGACTGTTTATCTCAATAAAAGACAAAATGCCACCTTCATGAAGATCGTTACTGCCATTCTAAATATGCTTTGGCACACCCTTCTATGAGTGGTTTTGAACGAAGAAATGAGTATGTGTTGGAAGTAAGAATGTGGAACTCGAAATATGGAAATTTAGCTCACTTACAATATTTGGACGTTGATCTCGAGGTGTAATTGGGGTCGCAGATTATCCAAATTATGTACTCAAAATATTTCAATGTACGAATGGATTTTACTAAGGTTAACCGTTCCGAAATTGTTGTTAATAGAAGAATACATTTTAGATAAACTTTAAGTTCTTTCTGTTTGTTGCGCTATTATGTTTTTTTAATTTAGGGAAATTCACATCGTTCCTACAATTCGACGCTCTTCTTTTCCATTCGCCTTATTCAAAGTTAGTTCAGAAGTCAGTTGCTCGACTAAGTTACTTGGACATGCGGCGAACTCCACCATTTTGCTCTGATAGTAGCTGTGATGACGGTCTAATCGATCCTGCACTTACCGTTTTCAAGTAGTCTAATTTATTTGTTGCGCATTTTTTAACGTTCTGTTCGTAGAGATACCGTTCCTGAAGAAACCTACTTCAACAAAGATTTAGAAAAGGCTTTCATGAAACACAGTGCCCCGGTGTTCAACAGCAAAACCCTGCCTTATTTACTACTTAGCAAGAATGTTGGCAATATGTATACGCCGTCACTCTATGCCGCTCTTGCGTGCTTTCTGGCGACGTGAGTAATCTTCCTCTGCTTTTACTTATATTTTTGCATGTCGATTCAAGTACCAAACTCATCAACATCGGTTTGTCACCATATACGCTCTCTGTCAAATTGAAATGTCTGTTACAGACCTTAGAAATCCTTGGTATCTTTTATAACCACTTCGTACATATGGTATCGTTAGGAGCAATAATTGGTCACAGCGACATGGGATGAGAATGATTCGCTGTTCAGTCGAAGAAAGTAGCCTGACACTGCGACCGCCTAGTCGAACGTGAGTGCACAGCGCTTCAACAAGAGGGCTAAATTAACAAAGGTTCGATATTTAATTTTTCATCGTCATCCTAGTCGTTTTGCAAACCTGCTAAAGATTTATGATGTCTGCTCACATCAGCTAGAAGTGGCCAATTTTTTCGGTGCATATTTTGCTCTTGCAAATGTCTGTCTCTCGTTCCACAGTTGGTTGTTCGTTTGAAGCGCGCTCGACAAGAATATACATCAGATCATCACTTTTTGCCCAGGTAAGATTAAATGCCGTCGAGTGCATTTTTGGGTTATAGCTCATGGAGCAATCGACAGCTATGTGACCTAGCTACAAGCTAACTCGAGGTCCCTGCAAATTAGCAGTGAACGATGCTGTGACGGGAATGCCAGAAGAGGCGGAAATTTAGTCAATGGTACGGTCGAGCGAAAAGTACCGAAAAGACTATGAAATAGCCGTTATATGGCGATTTTATGTTGTCAAACCTCAGAATACCACAGACGGCCTAAATTTGGCCAAGTCGTGTGAATCATTTCAAGTTGTTA